CGTCTCATTGCATATATTCAGGGCCTGCTAGGGGCATTAAATTTCACACCACCCCATTTTGCTTTAGACCGACTGCATCACTTACTTTCGCCAATTTTTGGCTGATTCTGTGACACCGAAGGCATGCACTAATGGCTAGAAGATCGGTTAGATGATGCGCTGTTGGTCTCCGTTACTATGCTGGCGCCATTGTCCCGCCTTTTGCTTGACTTCTGTTTTGTCACCTACATGCAACGATGTCAGTTAGACATCTGCAAATCTGCATGTATCTACTTAACTATGTATATACCTGTTTCCTTTTCTCTCTGCTTGAGTTCTTAGTGGGTATGCATTTCCTGACGGTGATGCCCTTGCGCTTTCAGATTGCAAGATCCATATTCTACTTTTTATACTTATGTCATTCATCTCTATGTTTAGCTTCTAATCTCCTCACTTTTAGACCAGTCCATATTATCGGCTACATCTTTGCTCCGGTACAAGCCCCCTTGGCTATTCAACTTTTAGTTGTTTCGCTGCCATCTTCAAAATTTCAACCACTATTACACAATTTTGTATACTATGTTAAGGTGCTTTATATTAGCGGCACATTGTCTCCGCCCATCCATACTGAGACCTGCCTCCTCCGATCGTTGCAATACACCAACCGTATGTCATAGTAAATTGGTTCCAAATAATTATGTGGGTAAACGGTGTACATGTCAGACAAAATTCGTATGACCGGTTTAGTTTCAATATGGTACTAGCACTTTAGCCTGCTTCTGTTGAGAATTAATGCTAAAAATAATAATGTGTCAGCTGAACGCCGTAACGGTGCTTCGCTACCGCGCGACCAAGACCAGTCGCGCGCGGGCTGAGTATACCGCGAGGACGCCCATCCCTACCCGGATTCGAATCACTGACCTTATGGTTGCAAAGCAAACGTGCAGACCACGCGGCCACCGACCTCCCTTCTGCAATTCGTCCTCTACCTCCCTTCCCTAGACCTGCAAAGAAGAGCTGAATGAACAGGCCTACTCGGTATCAGCCAGCAGAACGTTCCAACAACCGGCCTTCGCAAAAACATAATTCCTCCACGTGCCCTACCTGGACAGAAGCATCGTTTGGCTAGTTGACTTCTAGCAACAATTTTGTTGGTTCGAACGTTTGTTTGAACGACACCGTCAGTCAATAAATTTTCTACACGCTTCGGATTCCAAATTCGACCGGCTTCGATGACCACTGGCAGACACGGACTAAGCAGCTATTTGATCAAGCTTAGTGCTTTATAATGCCTGAGGTTTTAATATGCCTGATTTGGTGTGCCTCGGCGAAACAGAGGATAAATCCTTTATTCAGTCAGCCAAGGAAAATGTTTGTGTTTAATCCGACTGCAGATAACGGAATGCATGGTCGGTCAGTGTGAAGTACCGTCAGCTCTATAATATGGAAAGAAGCGTTCCCGTATGCTGTGGGTTTTCACCTGACGGCGGCTCTCCCTATAAATGGCCACAAATGTTCGCTAAAAGCACCGCAATGTTAAGGATGTGACTCGTCACCGAAGGAATTCACAGCTCACTAATTCACACTGTAGAGTTGATCATTGCCCCCTTTTCCTATTTTCTTGCGCATATTACACAGCTAATTCCAGATCCACACCCACCCACACCATATCCACTCCTTTATGGCTGATCGCGCTATTACATTCACTTGACCCCAGAATGGTTTCACATTATTATTGAGGTTCCGCAACAGCGCTTCCAGGTTTCCTTCTACTGCAACTTATAGGGTGTCCTGCCGTGTATGGTATTGCATGGATAACAGTACCTGCACGGAACTCCTCTGAGGACGTACCTGCTACTCTCACCTGGACACGGAATCAACACAGAACAAAGAAAGCACCCGCACTTCGCAAGCCTGACACACTAACTGAACCCAGAAAACTAATCAAACCAAAAGAAGTCACCAGAGTCGTCCGACATCAACAGCTCTAACCACTTGCGGTCCACTCCGAAGGAGACTACATAACCACAAGGAGCAAACTGGCGAAACCTGACTGCGAATATTCGGGATGGTAATCGGTCAGATGCAATATTTTCAATGTCTTATCACCAGTTGGCAGTGCTCCAGGACATGGTGGGTTTTCGTCTGGCAAGCGTTTTCTCCCCAGAAAGCCACAAATGCCTGGTTAGCAACACTGGGACGTGGCGGATGTGACTCGCTACTCAATAAAGTCACCGCCCCACTCACACATCGGCAAACTGACCGATACCATATTTACAAATTCGGTGCATATATCCGCTCCCGTACAAACACGCCTACATATTTGATCAGTTACATGCCACTATTCTTAAATAATTTTGCAGCTTTTCCTTCTGCTTCACTCCTCTGACCCTTAATGTGTACACAACCTCATCGGACAAGTTCCTTATCAACATACTCCACAGTAGTACTCTGCTTCTTATTTCTACTTCTCGCATTCTGTGGACGAACTTCGTACAACCTTTGGGCCATATGAGTATACACTACTGACTCCAACTTTACTAATCCCGCACTTGGTGCTGCAAACCATGCTGTCATGTACAATATTGCATAATGCTGACCACGCCTAAAAGGCGTGCCATGGTTTGTCGAGAACAAAATATTTATTTATTTATTTGTTTCATGCAACTCTACTTGCCTGCTGTGAAGCATCGTCCTGCAAAAGGTTTAAGCCTGCTTGACACGGGTGCTTCGGAGCTCTTAAGAAAATTATTTATTTGTTTATTCTAGCTCTACATGGAATAGCATGGGCATTTTGTACATATTGATCTGTTTCCTTGAGGGAAAGACATTCAGCAACAATCTAGAAATATCCCATTATCTATATGTTTATATGATTTAAGCTATGCTGTCTGTCAACGCGCAGGTGTCAGCTGTTAATTTTAAGTAACCGTTCAAGCAAATTAAACCCAGGATAACTGAAGGTTGGTCAGTACCTTGTCAAATGCTTGTGACCTGCCACTTGTCGTGTAACATTAATGACCCTATTTGGTATGGCTGTCATAATGCATCGGAACGAGCTTAGGATAAAAAACCAAAGAAAGAGATGGAGGCCACGATTAAAGATAAAGCTGCGGCTAGGTTTGGCGTGGTCTCGATATGGCCTTTCGAGCAGGATAGCAAATAACAAAAATAAAAGCAAAAATTCGACTTGCGTACAGGTAGCTGCACACAACCATTGATTCGACCATCTCACGGTCTACTTAATTTCACTAGGCAACAATTCCATCTTTTTGAAAAGTAACGGATGGACGTAAATTGAAGCATAGAAGAAAGGGGAATGGTTGAGCCTTTTACTCAAAGTAACCTCAATAAAAGCAACTGGGAATCATGGGTGGCGCACTTGGTTAAAGCGGGAGTAAATAGTGCTTCCGGAAGACGATACGAGTTCCAGGGAGTTATTAGTTTCTATAACAAAGAGTTTAATCCTTGTCGAACTCCACAAACGACGCCGCTCATACTGCTAACTAAGGAAATGGAAGTGGGAATTAAACAGTGCCGTAGTGCGTCGCGAAGCGTGCCAAGCGATCGCATACCAACATTTCGGGGCTTGACTCAGCAACCTGAGCCTTATCTGCACACCAACAATCCACACAGTTCAACGAAGTGTGCCACGATACTATAATATTTGGTAGTCTCTTACAGTCAAACCGGAGAATTATGCTTAGAACTACAGATAACCTATACGTGCTAGTTCATCGGATCCGCCAAGCAGTTTGCCAATGATGTAGTCACGTTATATTATCCACCTATTTGAGCAGCAACATGAGCCGGTTTATGATGCTATGCGTCGAAGTGAAGCTATGTGTTGGCATGTACATACTGCGGATTTAACAGTTCTCACACTGTAGCCTCTGGCACAAAGGTTATGCGAGACAAATAGTTGCACTGCAAAAGGAATTAGAGAAGGTGCGGTTCACTTTGCCCATGGATTTTAATTCGTAGCACTTGTTCGCTGTGTATACTTGATTCAGACGAGATCATTTATGGAGAAAGAAGAAAATTCGGTGAACTGGGATGACGCAAGTGCTTAAGGTTTTAACTGCGCAGCTTTATAGGCTATACAGGTGATTATGATGAATAAAGATGAACCCTGGCGTTGTTCTCGAATCACATAGAACGGTCTCTGAAAATGGTCTACCTAACCAGCGATGTTAATGAGGCGATTATTTTAACTAGGTGCGGGAAGCGTTGGCACGCTTGCTTGAATGACTGCGGATTCTCGGTTTATAATCTTGATGATGCTTTGTTCCAAATAGTTAAGTACGCAACTAAAACGAATCCAGAACGTGATTGCTGCATCACTGTGAGCCGAATAATTGTGCAGCACTTGTTTGAGAGTTCAAGCCCTGGCCTGATTTTGGATTGGAACTGGAAATATCAGTAGGCAACATTTTATGTTATAACTAATTGTATAAGCGTAGGTTTAGAGTAATGCGTCGCTGCCATATAGAATGAAGCTTGAGATGAGTGGACAAATGTCTATACCTAAACGAATGCTTTTGTGAGGGCAACCCCAATGGGTGCATTTGATTAGGATATGCCACGACTTCCGCACGTTGCTGTATAGTAAATTGCAGTGTAGTGGGTTTTCCACTACCAGTGGGATAAGTTGTCCGCAGCAGATTTTCTGATAGACCAGGGCAAGAGCAGTGGAGTTCTGAAGAAAAAATGGGTCCACTTATAATTACTATCGTTAAACTTTGCCGCGGGATGGACTACAACAAAGTGCCAGCGTGTATGGTTATTTATGACATGTTTTAAAATGTCGTTCTTATGTGCAGTAAAGGGTTACTACCCCCAATTTCATCATATCGTTGTTCCTCGTTGACGTGTTCTGTCAAAAAACAATATACCTTTATCTTAAAAAGTTGGATAAGAAGTTGAATTCTACTAGATATACAAAGCGAATCGCGCTGAGAACCTGCAAATTATAGGTAGCTTGTTTGGATATACTAAATCTTTGCAGTTAAATGCGCCACGCGATAACCAATTTTCTGGGGCATATAAACGGGGTTGTTTGAGGTCAGTTGCATAATTTTTCTAAGGTCACCAAACGTATTGTGATTGCAGAAGGAATTTTGAACTTTTAACTTGTCACAGGTTGTAGGATACCACATGCAAAATCATTTGCTTCAACAGCTTCTAACAAAGTGTCGTTAACTTGATGTAACAATGATTTTACCAAAAGTTAGCAAAGCATTATCATTTTGTTCCTCCATTTGCCGTTGTGATAACTTCCTTCGAAGAATACTGAAATTTGCTGGTTTTGTATGCAGGCTTTCGTTCCCTGGCAACTTGTTACGACCACCACATTTAAAATAACGCACGAAGTTGTGAATTATTCAGCTTTGTGTATCAACATCTGGGTATTTTTCATTGTGTTTAATTGAAAATATCTTGTGTGACTGCAGTTCAAATTGCAGATACGTCGCATGTTTGTAGTTTTTTAATTATATTTTCATGATATGCTTCCTGTCCTTCTTGGTTTTAAGCAGTATGTTTCAATATGAGCCATGACGAGTTAAACTTCCTTGGTCTGTTTTAAATTAATATTAGCAAAACTATGTGTCTCAGAGACTGTTCGAGATAATTAAATAGACTAGTTATCTGAGAATGATGTTAATCTGTTGGTTCCAAAGATATTGTAAGTTGTCAGGATGCCATTTTATCATTATTAAACGCTAATTTCATAAGATTTTGAATTAGTAATTGGCTTTTTGTTTGCACCAGGTAATCAATAAGTTCACTTTAGCTTCAAATTTGTGGTCTTTACTCGTTCTCAACGAAAACATCCGCATAAAAGTGGTTGATTTTTGTGCACTGGCATAGTTATAAAAGCGATCTGAGTTGTTGCTTTTGTGATCTTAACAGTCTCAGTGAGACAACATTAATCAGAAAACTTGTTACATTGTAACCCTAACATAGGCTGAGAGTGCAGCTTTTCTCGCTGATACCGTCTACACTGAAATGAAATCCATCAAAAACTCGTCATTACATAGTAATAAATATTTAGCGTCACACTGAAAAGCTTTTCGTGTGATCGGGATTCGCCCAAAATTGTTTTTGCTGAGACGGCCAAGGTAGCAAAAGCGGTGATCTAGCAGCTTCCTATCCATCACTTGCGCTACATGCATGTAGGATTTTACTAAAAACAGCTGGTAGTGGAGAACCGTTGGTTTCAACTAAACATTATGTTGAAAAATACAATACTTAAATGTAATATGTCATATTCTTCTTCACTTTCAATTTTTATCTGCAACGCTACAATGGATTGCTTATTCACTAGCAGTGCCAATAAGCCATTTTGACTTTTAGTTTGGCACCTGATTAGAATCCCGTCTCGAGAATTGTTTGTTTTACTTGCAATGTTATTTTTGCACCGAATAGTTGCCGACTCAGTTCGGAGGTAAAAATTTACAAACTAATGATTGGTTCAAAAATATGGATAAATGTTTTGGATGGTTCATTACCACACTAACAATCTGACTCTGCTTACCAAGGCCAATATATGCATTTTTATAAACCTTAAAAGGATTTAAGGACTGGACTACATACAGTATTTCTGTGTTATTAGTAAGCTAGCACATGCAAATTACCCCTTGGGCGTAAGTTGCTTTTCATACACTTCATATCGATGCATTTTGGAGCATGTGAATAAATACACAAAAAATATATATGAAAATATCTTAATTGGCATAAAGATGACGCACTGAAATGCATCATAAACGCCATCAACTAAAATATACAACTCCTTTGTTAATATATCTTATGTTCAGTCAGAAATAGCTAGAGGTTTAGTGTTACAGTGTGTTCGGCTTCGTACTCGCTGCCTTCTAATTGATAGTTAATGTGTGGCTCAAAATAGGTCAACAGAACAATTCGTTTGTTGCTTTTATATCCAATCTGCTTTATGAGTCGCTAATATTCGACCTAATTCTATCAAGAACAGTAGTTTTGTCTAGCAAATACGTTTATTGCATTCTTTGGGTTGCGCTAGAGCCAGTTGACGTTTAATAACCGGACACAATTCTAAAGTTGTTTCATCTGGACAGTCATGGACACAACAGTTACTCAAGCGGCAGCACTCTATTGGACTTTTGTGTACACTTATCGATCACGTATGGTGTTTGGATACGGTAACATAGCAGTGCCTTATACATAGTTGCCACCTCCCCATGGTAAGCCATGAAGAATCATCCGTTATTAATTCAACCCGCGAACTAAGTGCTAATGTTTTCTAAATGAGGTGGCAACTTACACTCCGGAGGTATTTCGGTGCTTAATATCGTCATTTGTATTATTCGTAGCTGCTATGTTTAATCATAAGTTACGCCAGTCTTGTAAGGAGCTAAATACTAAATACTGTGGACATAAAATGAGCGGAATTAACCGCAATCGCTTCGTTACATTTGTATTAGAGTAATCATTAAACAATCTTAATAATTTTCGCGACCTTTAACTTACTTCTGCAGCATTTTAAACATGCAATCTGTGAGGTGGATAACTAGGGAAGTATTGTACTCCGAAGCGGGATCCGTCTCCACTGTGTTCCTTTGTTATGCCCTTCCACTATGTCATCACTTGATGCGCAAAACGTCAAAGATGAGCTACTCGTTTAAGAATAGGGAACATTTGGTGCGAGCATGTAAAGCAGCCGTTCTGTGCTAAAGAATACCTTAAATTTAATACACAGGTTGTCACTGTAACCTCAAAACAGGATAGACGATACGCAAAGTGCACAGCTATAATTTTTTGCATTGGGTTTCGTAGCACATACATTGTAAACTGACGATAAGTCTGGCATTCCTATTCTGAACGCGTTCAAGCTTTGAATTCCTTCACGGGTGATGGGAGAGTAGCCAGGTAAGCCGTACTCTAGCATTGATCCTATGATGGAAGAAAATGAATATAGCAGCAATCACCTCAGGGAAATTGAAAAAAGTTACGTCTGAGCATCCAAAGTCTGCGCAAACTGTTTTGGCAAAGCCTGCTTATGTTGTTGAATAACAACAAAAGCACTATGACTGCACGCCTATGTAATTCATGGTGGGTGTTCGATGGAGTGGCTAGCCAGCCGTGGTAAACATGCGTTTATTATTACCACACGCTTGCTTCTAATTACTAACTTCACTGGGTTGACATGCAAATCAACTTAAGCAACTCAAATGAACAGGCTGCCTAGGTCATGATGAGTTACGACACCATTGCCGAGAGCAATAATTACCTTCCAGCTCTTTACCCGTTTGCGAACATGATACAACGCGACTGAAAATGCTGAGGCGTTTCGTTGACGTAACTAGGGAACAACGTAAACGCAAGTGCTGTGTTTTGGGCTATAAAGCTAAACAAAGATGTCAATCGGTCAATGTGCATCTGTGTACACTTCTCAATTGTGTCCAAAACAATTGCTTGTTCACTAGCGCTGTGGACCACCAACACAACAGATCCTTAGTAAGCGCGTGACCATTTTAGGCTTTTCCTTTTTGAGCGCTCTACTAAAGTCAATGTAAAGCACGTCAGCTGACGTTCAGTCGCATAATGCCTTAAGCCATTCACGCATTTCTGTTAGCAGGTTAGTAAGGTTTTATAACTCAAACATTGACTTTATCCCGGAATTTCTGTCAACATAGACTCTTAGCTTTTTCTTGGACATAATTGCATAACCTTTCTTATAGAAAATGGCACGCATATTGAACAAATTTAGCAACGGGAATCTTTTACGTTATTTTCCTTTAAAGGAAGGATTTTAGCTTTGCTAGATCGAATTGAATACGTTTTATTTTTAAATGTCATCGGAAAGTGCCCTACTTAAAAAACATCACAAGCGTGCGCTTTTTGCACCTAGCTAATCTTTGCGCAAACAATAGAATAAAATGGGTAAATGGTTTTTTCTTTTTAGTAAACCTATCCCAATGTAAATCCACTTCTCTTTTAAACTACCCGATATATATACGATAGAAATAAAATTGGTATTGTTTGTATCTCTCCGCTTTCGAGTTATTTTTACAATATCACCTAACTAATTTAGCTGAGAATATTTGTATGAACTTTATTTTGCATCTAACTATTATTTAAATAGGGTTTTACCTTAAGGAAAGTACACTGAATTGCTACGACACGTAAAACAGAAACCTAAATCAGCCAAATAATGCAAATATAAGTGGGCAAAATCATTTTTTAATCACAACTATTACATGCCATAGTAGTCAACGACCTTACACATTACACCCTAGCTCTAACCCTAACGTTCCATCGGAGAATAAAACGATAGGGCCTAACATAGAGTGCACATTCATTTAGCAAAATACTTTTATTTGCGTACATATATCTTACCAAAGTTGCTTATAAATACAACTATTTAACAGAATCATCTGGAGAGCTATCTTGTGGCTTAAATGTTTTATTCTTTAAAGTGGCCTCATCTTACAGAGAAACTGGCTTACTGCTAGGTTTATTGAAATTAAAGCCTAGATACAACAATTTCAGTTTGGTACAGTTTCCTGATTGTCGTAGGTACTTACAGTATGTGCATCCTTGACCTCTCCATGAACAGCAATTGAATTCTAAGCTGCAGGTGTTGGTTTCTTCCATCAGCTCAATAGCACATTCATTGTACCATGCTGCGTTTAATTAGGTAAACAGTGGTTACTTTACTACTAGTAAAAGAAGGTAACATGCAAGGCGCGCGTCCGATCCGAAGTAACTTAGTCATTATGGTTTGCTCATCTAAGCTATTGGAAAGATAATTTTCGACTGGGTTTTACTCAAACACTTTAGTTATGCAAAACAGTAAATATTACACAGTGACTGACTGGCCGATGTTCCATTATCTTAACACGGTGGATGACTAACTTTACTTATTTCGTTGACCAGCTTTAGACTTCTTGACAAGAACTGTCTGATTATGGTATTCATGTTGTACCCTAGCTCACAGTTCATTAGTTTGCTTATTGCTCACTTCATGCCTCATGCTAGTTGAAGAAAGCAAACATTGCTTGCACTTGCTACTGTGTTGCTGTTTA